CGGCTCCGCTCGCAGTGTGCAGCGCGCGGTCAGGGGCCTGCAGGTGACGCACGTCGACCCCGATCGCGCTGCAGTGCGCTGCGCTCACGAGCGAGGCCACCGCCCCCGTGTCCAGCAGGATTCGGGTACGCACTCCGTTTACCTCCCCTTCCACCAGCGACGTGGCCCCCGTGATCCCCGCCACCAGCTCCCGCAGCCAGTCGCCAGGAGTTACCGTTTCTGTGGGCGTTGTTGCTGGAACCTGTGTGGAGATCACTCGCTCGCCATTATTCTCTCAGCTTGTTTGTGTCGGGGCTACGTCGATTTCACCCCCCGGTGGTCCCCTCTCTAGGGGGGCCTTAGTGTTTGACCTTAGCTCTTGTCTAGCTCGGGCGACCTGAGGACAGTCCCTCACTAGATGCCCTCGGCGATCGCACATATAACATGCCCGCGGAGGGGTGGCGGTTCCGTAGCGGGTCCCCTGTCCGCTCCCTCTCCCTCCCCCAGTACGCAGTTGTCCCAAATCGGACTCTAATTGGGACACCCTCCCGGCCAGCCCCCCTACGGTCGAGCGTAGTTCCCCCATCTCAGTCTCAATGGTAAACTGTAGCTTGGCCATATTTCGGCTCATTTTATCGTCTACTTGGGTTATCATATCTCCCATGCCAGTTTGTAACCCGGCTACCCATCCCGGGGTTGTCTCGCGGGACACTGGAGGCTCTCTTTCCCGGCCCCTTACCGTCCTCGCGAGCTCCTGTTCCTCCTCCTCGTCTTCCGAGAGCAGGCTCGCAATGGCGCGCTCCCGTCCCAGCCCCCGGAGCTGCGCGCGTTCGCTATGAATTCTTTCACACTTACGTGCGCTCGACAAGGGCGTTAAAGGGAAGACGTGGGCAGCTCATGTCTGGCTGCCACCACGCCGTGCGAGACAGGTATCACTGGATTTTCTCGGCGGCCAGTTCCTCAATAACATCAGTTGCGTACCCCGGGCGTGCGATCTTTGTTAACTCGCGCACATCCTCGGCGTAATCACGTAGATCTTCGCCAGGTTGGCGACGGCGCGCCTCTAAGGCCGATTTTGCTTCCTCCTCGTCACGCGTGCCAAAACGCTGATCGAGTCGGCGCATCAGCTCCTCTAGCTGTGTCTGTGCGCTCGCGGGTAACGCTTCTACAAAATCGGCTGCCCGCCCATCAAGATTCATATTAAGTTGACGTACTGCCTGCGCGTCCGTCCATCCATTAATTTCCTTGGCCCCTAAGAGATTGCGGGCGAATGCCTTCCACGAAGGGGCCCCCCGGCCGGTAAATATTAGTCTTATTTAAGCGTGAGGTAACGCGGGGGTCCGTACCGCTTCTGACACCAATTTGTGGGGGCCGTTGGCCCCCGGGGTCCCTCCCGCCTGCATCCCCTATTCCGTTTACGTTACCCCACCTCCCTATTACCCGCTACGGTTTCGCCGGCATTCGAACGCGACACCCCTACTATTACAGCCTCGCGCCGCGCTCCCACGCTGCGAGCATACGTGCGCACATCATCATCAATCAAACGCCGTGCTCGCAGTATAGCCCTGTGCGGCACGTTACCAATGCGCATCCGTATCCGACACGTAACGAACGTATGCGCACTCCCACACACAGCTCTGCGCGGCACTCACTCAACACTGACCACTCGCGTTAGGATCGCGCACCTGTGTTATACACGTCGTGAACGTGCGCGCACACACATACAGCTCCACACGCGATACCCACTCTTGCGCCGCTCTGCGCCGCGCTGGCCGCTCACGTTATGGTCGCGCACCTGGGGTACACCGATTACGCACGCCGAGAGCTTACGCATACACCGTACCACACGCGTTCACACTTATAACACGAGATCACACGAGGCCACGATCAGCTATTAATGATTTATTATCCGCTACCTGGAACTAGATGTTAAATCAGTGAGTCGACGAGGCTGGCCTACGCTGATACCTCTATACCTATTCCCGATTTATCTGCTATGATTCTAATTCACCTTCTTACTCACTGTTAAGTGTCCACGGCGGTCCGCTGATCCTTGTGCTAACCGCGTGCCTCGGTGCGTCACACGGACGTCCGGGTCGCTGGCTGGAGCTGCGTCTGGTCGCCTGGCGCTGGAGTAAGAGAGCGATTTCCCCCTTGCGCTCCCCATTTATCCTGATTCCCGGACCCCTACCCCCTTCCCACGCACCGTGCGCCTTCGCTATGCTAATTAATCCTTTGTCCGCGCGGCGTGAACTCCAAACAATGGCACGCGCCCTCCTCGCCCGGGCCAGGCAGCTCCGCGGTGCCTTTGTTCCGCTAATCAATGAGCGACCTGCACGGCGCAAATTCCAATCAATCCTTTTCTCACGCAGGCCCCCATCATCGAGGTTCATGCGGCGGTGTCCATCACAAAGGCCCGTCGTGGGAAGCTGTGCATGGCTCCCCGCGCGCCTCCCCTCTCCCGATTATTTATACTAATAGCCTTATCCTTTAACTCCCTTAACAATGGTGCCTGCGTACCCGAGCGTAATTATGCCGTCCCTCCGCTGCCGGTGCGGGGGTGCCTGATTATGCAGTTCAGATGCACTGCGTGTTTTCTAATGATGCTCCTCCATCATAATGCTTATTCCCTCTGCCTGCCCCGTCGATACTGGCGTGTGTGGGGGGAAATGCGCCTCAACCGCGGTGGCCGAATGCCCCACGCCACGACCACACCATATTAAGGCCGGTCGCAGCGCCGCGGCGCAACGTAGCACGGGGGAGGTCATCCAATTCCCTGATCGCCGGAAACCGTGAGAGTTGATCCCGATAAGGGTTTCTCGGATAAAAACCGGTCGGCCAGGCGACCTCCCCTCGGAGCTCTATGGGGGGGGGAAATGAGTGCGGGTGTGTTCATGTGAGGTGAGGTGAGGGAGACAAGGGGTCGGCTCCGTTGCTTGGTGGTGGCGAGGTCGGGGATTTGGCACCTGCCGAACGGCTTCGCGGCGGCGGCATCACAAAGTCTCTTTGACTCATCCCATCAGCCGTACGGCCGTCTGGGAGTGCCTCTCATCATCAGCAATGGCTCAACTCGAGCGCCACTCTGGGCCGGTTTCCACTTTCAGTGCCTCATCAGCAGCAGCAGCAGAGCCAGGCTCTGCTTGAACCGATGCCGTGAGCCCAATAGCTGTTTAGAAGCTTGCGGCTGTGGGCCGCCTTTGTCTCTCCCCCACCACTGCTGAGGTGTCCACACCACGCGAGGTTCTCACTTTCAGGCTGAGTCGACCCTGAGGAGGCCCAGACAGCGAACCGCTTCAGAAGTTGGCGCCACTCGCCCCGGCGGAAGCGGAAGTAGCAGCGGGGGAGGGGGTATGGGGGAGGGGGCTGGAGGGGGGAGGAGTTGAAAGATAGTGACGTCATGTAGGGCGTGGTTTCCTGGCCCCGCCCCCCACCTGCCTATGGTAGTTTGTGCGAAAGGCGGCGGTAGAGAGGTGCGGAGAGCAGCAGCAGCCGCCGTGAGTGGAGATCAGCTGAGGAGGAGTGGATCTCCGCTGTGGGTTAGTGGTGGTGGTGTTCGTGGTGGTGGTGTGTTAGTGGTGGTACGTTAGTGGTGGTGTGTTAGTGGTGGTGGTGTGTTAGTGGTGGTGGTGTTCGTGGTGGTGGTGTGTTAGTGGTGGTACGTTAGTGGTGGTGTGTTAGTGGTGGTGGTGTGTTAGTGGTGGTGGTGTGTTAGTGGTGGTGGTGTGTTAGTGGTGGTACGTTAGTGGTGGTGTGTTAGTGGTGGTACGTTTGTGGTGGTGTGTTAGTGGTGGTACGTTAGTGGTACGTTAGTGGTGGTGCGTTAGTGGTGGTGTGTTAGTGGTGGTATGTTAGTGGTGGTGTGTTAGTGTGTTAGTGGTGGTGTGTTAGTGGTGGTGTGTTAGTGGTGGTGTGTTAGTGGTGGTACGTTAGTGGTGGTGTTAGTGGTGGTACGTTAGTGGTGGGGTGTTAGTGGTGGGGTCGTTAGTGGTGGGGTTGTTAGTGGTGGTACGTTAGTGGTGGTGTGTTAGTGGTGGTGGTGTGTTAGTGGTGGTGTGTTAGTGGTTCAAGTTCAAGTTCATTTATTAGGTATAGCCCTGTGAGCCATTCAGCTCTTGAATCGGGTGCAACCGCAACAAACAAAAAACAAAAAACATGAACAAAAAACATCTTAAAGTGAATATGTGACTAAGTGCAAACAGAAAATCCAAGAAAAGACAGCAAAAATATTGCAGAAAAAACACCGTACACCAACGCTGTGTGCAAAAATCCCAGTGGGATGCAAGTCAAACAACAACAACAACCACAAGACAACTTAGATTAAGGCCATCAGTCTAACTCTGTACTCTGTACTACAACAACACAAACATGGCTAAACCAATACACTTTTCGAAATCACCAAAATAAAGCCATGAAAGCAATGAAAAGGCAATCATAGGAACTGTGACGGAATTTTCACAATAAATGGCATAAACAACATGTACTACCAAAACCCTGCAGCCATAGCTGGCTGCATGA